CACCATCACCTTCACCACCATCACCTTCATCACCATCACCTCCACCACCATCAGCACCATCAGCACCATCACCTTCATCACCATCACCTCCACCACCATCACCTCCACCACCATCACCTCCATAACCATCACCTTCATCACCACCATCACTGTCACCATCACCATCACCTCCATAACCATCAACACCATCACCATCACCTCCATCACTGTCACCACCATCACCACTGTCACCTCCATCACCTCCATCATCATCACCATCACCACCATCACCTCCATCATCATCACCACCACCGTCACTGTTACCATCACCTCCAACAACCATCACCTCCATAACCATCACCACCATCACCACCATCACCTCCATCACCACTGTCGCCTCCATCACCTTCATCTCCACCACCACCATCCCCACCATCCCCACCATCTCCACCGTCACCTCCCTCCCCGTTTCCTCACCCGGCTCCGCCCTCACGTCGGGATCTCGGTCACGGCGCCGCCGCCCCCTCTCTCCGCCTGGTGCTTGTCCATGACCTGCAGCACGTCCTCCAGGATGGAGGGCCCCAGGTCCACGTGCAGGGACAGGAGGGACCCGGCGTGGGACAGGAAGGGCGGCTCCTCCTCCCCGTCGGCGCCGGCGAAGCCGTTGGCGGGCGCGGCGAGCCGGGGGGGCTCCTCTGCCGGGGCGGCACCGCCCGGCACCGGCTCCGCCGCCGGGGCCTCGTCGAGGTGCAGGCGCGGGGGCTTCGGGGGGGCCTGTGCCGGGGGCAGGGTGAGCGCCTGCGGCCCCCCCAGCGCCGGCAGCGAGATGGCGTTTTTGAGCAGCGGCGACGGCGCCGCCGCCTCGCCCGCGCTCATGGTGGCCGTGCGCGAGAAGGAGAACGGCGCCGGCGCCGCCTCGGCACCGCCGGCGCCGCCGCCCTCGTGGCGCGGCAGGAGGTGGAACTTGCCCTGCAGGAAGGAGGTGTCCCCGAACATGTCGCTCTCGCCGCCGCTGCCCACGTGGATGGTGTGGCGGAAGTCGCCGAGGGGGGGGCTGATCATGTCCGAGGAGAGGATGTCCCGCAGCTTCTCCTTCTTGCCCTTCCGGCTGCCCCTCTTCAGGTAGATCGGCACCTTGGTGGCCATGGCGCCGGCGCCCCCCCGGCCCGCGGCGGGCGCGGCCTCAGCGCCGGCGGGGCCGGAACCGCCTGGAAAACGGGCGAGAAAAGGGGGGAAATGGTGAAACTCGAGTTCCGGCACATCCGAGGACCCTCGACGTCTGGAATGAATTCCAGACCTTTGGTGGCCGTGGCGGTGCCAGGGTTGGACGCCCAACCCAACCCAACCCAACCCACTAAAATCAGCTGCAAAACGAGCAAAAAAAGAGGGAAAATGGTTAAACCCGAGTTCCAGCACATCCGAGGATCCTCGATGTCTGGAATGAATTCCAGACCTTTGGTGGCCGTGGCGGTGCCAGGGTTGGACGCCCAACCCAACCCAACCCAACCCAACCCACTGTGGCCTTGGCACTAAAACCAGCTGCAAAACGAGCAGAAAAAGGAGGAAAATGGTTAAACCCGAGTTCTGGCACATCCGAGGATCCTCGACATCGACACGGCCCGGGAATGAATTCCAGGCATTCCCTGTTCCCCATCCAAGGCTCGCTGGCCAAGGCACCGGCACCAAAACAAGCCGGGAATGAAATCCAGGTGCTCGGGGCCTCGGGATGGGCCCCGAGGGGCGGGAAAGCCCCGGGCAGAGCCGGAGATCCGGGAGCGTTCCCGCTTTTAGGAGCTCAGGGTCGGGAGAGCGGAGCCGCCCTGGGATGTGACACCAGGAGGGGCCGTTCCCGGCTGGAATTCCGCCCTGCCCGGGGCCAAAGAGCCGCAGGAATCCGGGGGAGGATTTATCCCTAAAAATGTCATGGGAACACCCCGAGGGAGGGAAGATCCCAGTTCACCTTCCGGAACCACCTCGGGGGTCCAATCCTAGTGAGCACTCCCTTATTCCTTCTTCCTAGGGAGCATTCCCTGTTTTCAGGGCATGTTCCCTCATTATTCCCTGTTTTCAGGGCATGTTCCCTCATTATTCCCTGTTTTCAGGGCATGTTCCCTCGTTATTCCCTGTTTTCAGGGCATGTTCCCTCATTATTCCCTGTTTTCAGGGCATGTTCCCTCATTATTCCCTGTTTTCAGGGCGTGTTCCCTCGTTATTCCCTGTTTTCAGGGCATGTTCCCTCATTATTCCCTGTTTTCAGGGCATGTTCCCTCGTTATTCCCTGTTTTCAGGGCATGTTCCCTCATTATTCCCTGTTTTCAGGGCATGTTCCCTCGTTATTCCCTGTTTTCAGGGCATGTTCCCTCATTATTCCCTGTTTTCAGGGCATGTTCCCTCTATTCCCCATTGTCCCCCCATTCCCTCCTCCCGGTGCCGACAGATCCAATTTTGTGCCGCTACAACCGGAGTCGCTCCCGAGGCCGGAAGCCCCCGAGTGCTCTGATCCCACCTCCCGCTCCCTCCTTCCCTCTCTTTGGGGAGCATTCCCTGTTTTCAGGGCAGGCTCCCTCATTATTCCTCATTTCCAGGGAATATCCCCTCGTTACTCCCCCCCTTCCCTCCCCTCGGAGCCCCCACACCCCCCCCGAGTGCTCCGACCCCACCTCCCGCTCCCTCAGCCCCTCTTTCTGGGGAACAATCCCTGTGTTTTCCCTGGAAATAGGGCGTGTTCCCTCAGAATTCCCTGTTTTCCCCCATTCCCCCCCTCACAGACCCGCGCCGGTGCCGCCACAGCCGGAGTCGCTCCCGAGGCCGCCGGAGATCCCGGAGCGAGGCGGGAGGGTGGGAATGAGCCTCGGGAGGGTGGGAATGAGCCTCGGGAAGGAGGGAACGATCCTTGGGAAGGCAGGAATGATCCTCGGGAGGGAACAGGCCCTGGGAGTGTCCCGGCCGCTCCCAGCCCGACGCCGGCGGATCCGGGCAGGGAAAATCCTGACGGTGCGGAATCCGGCGCCGCTAATCCCGGGATTAACGGCGGGGACGGGTCGGGGGCGGCCCGGAGGTGACGGACACGGGGAGCGGGGAAGGAGATCCCGGAGATCCCAGGAATCCACAGGCCTGGCACGGCCGGGAAAAACACCGGCACCGGTAAAAGAAAAAGGGGGGAAAATACGGGATTGGGGGGGAAAAAGGGGGGTTTGTAGGGAAAAAAGGTGGATTTTTTAGGGAATAAACAGGGAGGCGTGGGAAAAAGTGGGGGAAAAGGATGGATTCGTAAGGAAAATG